TTTTCTCTGCTTCATCTTTACTTTCTGGAGCTCTTTTTTCACATATCTGTGTTACCCATTCAACTTTTTTAAATACATCGGTTTTCTCTAATCTGTCCAATTCTTTATCTATCTGTTCAATTGAAGCAAACAGCACATTCCTTTTCTTTTGAATACTGCCTGAGCGTTTTCTTTTGGCTGTAATTTTGCCTCCATGTTGGTACACGTTCCCAAACCTGGAGAAAAAACCAGTAGGAAATGTTCCCTTGAGTTTCTGTTTTTTGGGCTTCTGAGTTTAAACTTTCAACCTTGTAATAAAATTTATTGGTAGATCCCATAATTGGAATTCTGTTATCCAATTTGTACCAAGTAAGTTCGTGGTATTTTCTATGACAAATAGTTTAGCTTTTCGCGTTTTTTTTTATTTAACGTGATGTTTGTAACAAATTCTCCAATAAATTGTATTTTTTCTCCCGTCACTGACCTCGCGATTTTATTTGTTTTCATTAAAGTTGGCTTCCCCAACTTCTTCCACGTATGCAAATTTATGATAGATAGGTCGGAACCAGTGTCAAGATGCATTTTAATTTTTTTTATTACTTATTTCGATGGTAACAAATTTTCTAGTTATTCCATCAATCACCTTGCCGGATTTTAATTTTCTTATTTTATTTTCTTTATTTTTTGACCTGCAGTGTGAGCTTTTATGACCCACTCTTTTACAGTTGAAACCTTTTTTTATTCCTAAAATTGCAATATCTGTATCAGTGAAGTTCACCGCAAGCAAAACATGGCTTCGGGAGTTTTTGTTTATTTTTCTCTGGTGGCATTTCACTTTTTGTTTGATAATCCGCAATTTTAGAATTCTTTTTGTAGTTTTTTTTTTTTTTTTTTTTTTTTTTTTTGTAGCGTATTTTCCTTACATATGAAATGCCAGACTGTTCTATCTTTTTCAAATCTTTCTTTACGCTAACATATCTTGTGCAGTCTTCTGCCAAAATCTGTATTGTAATCCTTGGTTGGTTTTCCAATTTTGTCAGTACTAATTTTCTCAACTGTCTTTTTCAGATACCAGCCCTTGAACAAACACTAAGCACTTAAAGTTGTCAGCGCTTAACTCTGCTAGCTTGAATTCTTCACAATGCTTATTCACATTGGCTGCATACGTTATAATCTTGTTCATCATCTTTTATCAGATTCAAACATTTCCACCTCTTATGAAACAGATGTCTTTTTACTAAATAATTCACTTAATATATTTAACGCCTTGGTAAAAGTCAACTCGCTATTTTTTTTTTTTTTTTTTTTTTTTTTTTTTTTGGTAAAATGTAGTTTACCAATTTGTTATGCTCAGCAGTTCCTAACTTGCTTAAAAGAAGTCTAACCTTCTTTCCTTCAGTGAATGACAGTCCTCATTATACACGTCCGTATATTTTTATAATACTCTTCAAAAGTTTCTCTTCATCTGGACTGTACGTGAATATTTCAATTGAATTCCATATTGTATTCTCTGGGAAAGAATCATTTTGTATATTTTTCTCTTTCCTCTTCTCAGTTATTTCCAGAACTTTGTTTTGAAACTACATCTGTCTATTAAGTTTCCTCCTGTAGCTGCATCTGGAATGTTTTCTGTTACTCTAATATTGTCAGCTGTTGTTCCGTCTGGGACTTAAAAAATTCCTGGAATATATTCTTGCATTCCTCCATCTTCGCAAAAAGGTTAACATAATGCTTAAATATTGTAGAGGGGGTGGGGGTCCAAAACGAATTTGCAATTTGCGACCTATTTGAGCAAACTCTTATCGAAAAAGAAAAAAAAAAAACACATTCTTTTCTCAGTTGAGAATACAACAGATTTTTTTCCTCACTAAGTTGACGTCTTGTCTTTCGAAAAACTTTGCCAAGTTTGTTTTTTTTTTTTTTCCTTTTCTCTCTTCCACCATATGAATTTCGAATCCTCATGGCAGTGTTATGGAGTATGAATGTTTTTCTTCCTCCGTATGAATCCGAATACGTTCGACGCCAAGTGTTGTATATGGCGAACGATTTTTTTTTTTTTTTTCTTTTCCCCTCGGTATGAGTTTGTATCTTGTCAAGTGTTGTAGTTTCACAGTGGTATGAGTTTGAATCTTGTCAAGTGTTGTAGTTTCACAGTGGAGGCTTGTATTTGTACTAAGTCGGTCCTAAAATAGGTTCAACGTACAAAACGTTAGGAACTTGATATAATAAATGACGCAGAGAAATCTAGTGGTGGTCGCCGATACTTTTAGTATCAGACTAATGGTCTTCCGACTGACCAACTCCTGAGTGACTTCGCGTCACTTGTTACTATTATTACTACTACTACTTATTATAGGTGGGAGAGTCTATTAACTATAGAATAGATGTGTTCCACTATAACAATATATATAAAAAAAAAAATTTCCATCATCTGTGAATAGTTTCTGAATGTTTCATAACATCCAACAATTATTTTTATTTTTGCAAGGTTTTCCAAATGTGTGCCATGCTAAAAATTTTTACTAGTTCCATTGATACAAAGAGAAACCAGGTATTTTTGAATCAATTTTAGAATCTTCTAAAAAGGGAAAAAAATTTAAATAATAATAAAAAACAAAACTTTGGTCTTTGCTCTTAATGACAAACATTTAGACGATAAAATCTTGTTTTCGTCAAGTTTGGTGTCTTTTTCATCATGCTATGCTTTGGTTTTTTGTTTTTTTTTATAGTGATCTCATGGAGTTACCTAAATTAAATTATTATAATTAAAATTTAAAAAAAAAATTTAATTTAATTTCTGAATATGTCCTGAAAGTTTCATTAAAATATGAAAATCATTTGAATTTTGCAAGAATTACCAAGTGTTTTTTTTTTTTCTTTTTGAAAAAGAAAAAAAAAATAAAAGCACAAAATAAAACCTTTCCCCTCTAGTTCACCACTGTCATAATTAACTAAAATTTTGAACGTGCTAGGAGTTAAAAAAGAAAAAACAGAAAATAAAGAAAATAAAAATACTTTGGTATTTCCTTTTAATAACAAACATTTAAATTTTTTTTATTTTTAATAGCGAAATTAGAGCATTTTGTTTACTGATGGAGAAATCTAATCTAGGGCAGAAGTTGTACCCATTGAATCTGTGTTATCAGGAGACAATGGAAATGGTCGAAATAATTGTTATTGATTAAAAATTGAAAGAGCTGAGTTTGGTTGAAGCAGACAGAACCCCGGTGATAATCGCGTGCGAAGTAGTAGGGCCGAGGGTCAGTTATAACCAGCCTGGGTTTATCTATATAAATGCATAGTTATGCTGAAAAAGGCAGACTGGAGAAAATTCTTGGAGAGAATTGGCCTGGGCAAGCGTTAGGAGGAGGAATGCCACTATAACTTTAAGCCCACACACAAATCTTTATCACATACACTCTCTGTCTAGAATCCAGTGTATGAGTTTTTTACTTTTCTTTTCTGTAACCTGTTTCTCTTCTCTACTATTCTTTTCGGCTATATAAAAGACATTAACAATTCAACCATTGAATTGATGTTTGGTTTTCTGCAGTTATTTTTTTTTTCTTTTTTGCTGCATTGTAAATTTCTTAGCACACTCTCCAGCCGTGTCTACATCTTCAGTCAACTGTGGATGGACGGACATCACTTCTGCTTTCTGGATCAAACAAATCACGTGGGTAGGATTGACCGGTTGAATAATCTTCAGATGCTCAGGGAACCTATGGACACTCCCTTAAGTTAGGTTAGGATAGAGTAGACACCTCAACCCCAACAGTAAGATGCCGGAGGTTGAGGGACCAGGGCGAAAGTGTTATAATTAGCAACAAATTTGTCAGTTTTCTGTCTCGTGTACTATTTAATCAGAAGCCAACTTCAAAAGCAATCAAATTATTTTTACATTTGCTTGGAACACAGCACTGGATAGATGCAATATCAATTACTTGGTCAATGTAAAAGTTGAAGTAATAGTATACTTCAACCCATTGGCCTTGGTGCTTGTAGCTGGAGGTCATTTGAAGTTATTCTCATAAATACTAGAGTTGTTTGAGTACCAACATTCACAACATGATTTTTGTTTCTGTTTAGAAGTAAAGTTCCATTTAAAACGCATCAGGGAAATATATATTCCATTTTTAACTTTATCAGTATACATTGTAAGGAACTTGGGATCTTCTTTAGCCTGCTTCTCTTACTTAGGAAAAAAAAAACTACACAGGGCATTGAGTTCATCATTCATTAAACAGTAAATGTAAATTTTATTAATCACTTTGGTAGGAGTCTGATACATTAAAATGTTATGCTTATTCTCTTTTATAATGCTGATATAATTGCTTAATGAAAAACTTTAAATTTTTAAAATGTGACATATTTTAACTTGAAATCTGGCATAATCCCTAAAATTAGTAAACAATTAAAACTTGAAAAGGACCTTATATTTCAATTTTTTCATGAGCTCATGTTAAACTTATTCAGAATTTTTTTAATATAAAATTTATCCAGTATCATAAATATCTCTAAAGCATACTTGTGCCTAAAGTCACAGGGATATATAATATAGCACTTTTAGCACATACTTCCTTGTTTAGTGCTAATTTAGAACATTAATTAAAGCTTGTTCATTTTGGTAAATTTTTTTCTTTTCTCAGACCTCTTGAAAAGTTTACAGCATTTTTCCACTTTTGCCTTGATGTTATATTTTATTTAATGTATAATTTTAATGGTTGAATATTAAAAGGGTAGATTAACTTTAATTGGAAGAAAAGATGATTGTAATGCTGTAAGAATTGATTAAAGACCTGCTATAAAATGTAAAGTTCCTCATCAACTTGACAAATCTTATTTATTCAGAATTGACTGTCTCAGTTTTGGTACATATTGAATGTTTAAAAATGTCACATTAAATTTCTGTACAAGGACATGAACATGGCATAAAAGAAAAACGCAACAGACAAACTAAGAGCATTGATTTACATAAATAATCCAAACAAAACTTGTGAAATTTTTTTTTTTTTTTTCAGTCTCCTACTAAACCAGTGAAATTGACAGGTGAAATAAGGGGAATGGCTGATGGCAAACATGGTTTCCACATTCATGAATTTGGTGATAACACAAATGGTAAGGTTTTAGAATAATTTTGTAAGCTTGTTTTCTCAGAATGTGCCCAGCAGGCCAAATACAAGTACATGTCTTTGACTATTCCTATCCATCTAGCACTCTCTGAAGTGAATTCATTTTTTGACTGCAATTGCAACTGTTTTGTTGCCTCTCACAGAAGTTATTAAACTCTTCCGGGAGAGCATGGTAACTTTTTTTTTTTTTTTTGCATGATCTTGAAGCTAGTCCTTGAATGTTAAAGCTAGGAGGAAAGTATCTTCAAGACAAGAGACTACTTAAGAAAATTTAACACTTTATTGATGTTGAATATTATAAACAACAACAGTCACATTTTCTTTGTGTCCATTCCATCCACTCAATGTGTATGTATTCTTGTCTTTGAGCAACATGTATTTTCTTAGCACTCTATCTTTATTGCCTGGTGACTAATGAAGCCAAATACTTTCCTGGTTTATATAAGCACCCCCCTTCCCCTAGCACCCCATCTAGAGACTGCTTGGTTTATCCCAGCAGGCCCATCCCTGCCTTTCTTTTTTTTAAAGTACTTTATGGCTTAGCATACTTTATGGCTTAGCATCATATTAAAAATTTCCTGTTTCATCAAATCTGTTTGGGGTTCAACTCTTTGAAGCCCTGATCTGCATTTTTTTTTTCTATTCACCCCTTTCTTTGTAATTAAGACATACTGTTGAGTGTTCACAATTCATTTCTAATTTTTAATCACCTCAAATCACCATTCTCCTTCAAACTAAACATTGAGCACTGTTACACTAGCAAGGCTCTATATTTATAGCTGATTGCAGAGTAACTATTATCCAAAGTTAATGGGTTAACAGATCTTATTTCATGCCTTTCTTCTAGGCTTATTTAAGCTTAGTTCTCCGATCATCCAATAATTTGATCCCTTAATCTTTCAGGCTGTACATCTGCTGGGCCTCACTTTAACCCCGATAATAAAGAACATGGTGCTCCTACTGATGAAAATAGGTTTGTATGTAACTTGCTTTTCAAAAACTAAAGCTCAGCTGGTACACTGAACAATATCTGATGTGAAAAATATGAATGTGACACAACCATCAAAACTTAGTGGGGCTAACTTTTATGGTAGTTCCACATAAACATTAAAAAAAAAAGAAGAAAAAAAAAAAGCAAGCTAAAGCCATGGTTAATTTTAAATCCTTCAAATAAAGATATAATCCTTTCACTAACACAAACCTTTCAGATTTCCCAGTCTCACTGAACACAATCTTGGGATTTTTATTACGGCCTAGTAAGTATCAAAATTCATCAAGTCTTGAAAGCTACTGGCTCGGACAAAATTCCAGTGGTTGTCCTTAAGAATATTAACCCAGAATTATCCCCTTCAGTCTTAGTGTCATTAGTGAGCTCTTTGAGGCTATAATCAAGTTTTGTTGAGCATCTAAATAGGAACAACTGTTTGAGAAACATGCTTTATGGATTTCAATCATCCCAATCCACTGCTGCTGTCCTAACTGCCATTACTTACAGACTCAGTGAGTCACTAGACAAATACATTTCAAGGACAATACCATTAGATATTTCAAAGGCTTTTGATAAAGTGTGGCATAAATGGTTATACTACACAAGCTCTAGCTATGGAATCATAAAGCCCTTCCTAATGGGTAGGTTCCTTAAGGTAGCTGTAAACAGCCAGTCTTTAAAGGCTCTAACACTCAGTGCAGGAGAGGGAGTTATTTATGGACTAACACTCTTTACTTTGCATAAATGATCTGCTGATACAATGGTATATGGATGCACCTGCAAGAGTCTAGATAACCAGAGATTGGCAGCTGATCTCAGCTGACATCTTGGGGTGCTGGCTGGTTATATTCAATGCCTTCAAACCGAAGCTATTGCCAATAACAATGGAAGTTCCCTCAGGGAGGCCCCATGTCTTTGACATACAATCCATTGCTAAAGATGCTGGAAAAACCACTCCAGTAAATATCTGATCAGGCCCAAAATAGAGTACTGTTGCCATGAATGGGGATAGGAGCTGCTCAGTCTTCACTTTTCAGAATCTAAAAGTCTCTAAATCCTTGTGGGTGACAATCTCCTTTCTCAGACAAAATGTTGCAAGCCTCTTGCTACTATTTCCATGGGAAGTACTCAAATGAACTACATTGCATAATCCTAACCTATGCAGCTTTGATTGTAGTGGACCACCCTCATTCCCTTTGTGCAGCTTCTTCCCATGAATCAGTTTTGTGGAACCAACTCCCAAGAGGATGCTTCTCCAATCACAATCTGTTCATTTGTAGGGGTTAACTTTTTTTTTTCCCACATATCTGCATAAACTGCACCTTTTACTCTGTAACTTACCTTGAGTGGCTTCTGGGCCTTGTGCAAAGTGGGCATCATTTGGTGGTGGGGGGAAAAAATGCTAACTTCAGACTCGAATGTAACACTAAACCAAAATACACATCTATGCTAACCATTCTTAAGCTAATGCATATTAAGGTAGCCTTTCCTGAATTCATAAATGCTTGCTTAATATTCCAGAATAGCTTTAGGAAATTTAAAATCCTATGGATATTATATACATAACTGAATAGAATATATGGGCAAGTCATTGGTCTTTCCTCATAGGGAAAACCTACTTCTATTGGTCATGATTAGGTTTTGTGCTTTTCATTGGAATGCTACATTCTTTTCCAACTTGATAATCTTTTTTTTTTTTTTTTTTTTAAGACATGTGGGTGATCTTGGCAATGTCGATTCATCTGGTGGAATTGCTAATGTTAACATTGAAGATAAAATTATTAATTTGACTGGTCCACATAGCATCATTGGTAGAACTGTTGTGGTAAGTATCTCATCTTAATGTTTCATAATTGTTAATGTTCCCATTTTTAAGGGAGAGGGAAGCTTTGAAAAAGCTTTGAATGTATGAAAATTTAAACTTGTACATTGTTTGTCTACTGGCAATCAATGTTTGGGTGGGTGAAACTAATTTTCATTGAATGGGAACTTGACTATTAAAGCTAACAGCTAAAATCATCATGCATATGATAGTTATATGCAATTTGAAGAAAATTGAATTTTTGAATTAATTCAAAAAAATTCTTGGTCTTTATAGTTAACTATAAAGACCAAGAATTTGCCTTTTTAGTTTATAAAAAAAAAAAAATTGTCCAATCACTTACTGATGTTGCTTTACATTTCAGGTTCATGCTGATATTGATGATTTAGGAAAAGGTGGTCATGAGCTCAGTAAAACTACTGGCAATGCTGGTAGTAGACTAGCATGTGGAGTAATTGGTATTACTAAATAGATATTCTATGTACATGATACATGTCAAAGTGTTTAAAATAAATAAATAAAAATAAAAACAATTTTCTTTTCTTTATATATTCATTCAAGAATAAAAAGTAGTTTTACAAGTTTTTAATTATTTTTTCTTTCTTTTAATGTCTGTACAAGTTATATTTAATGAAGACAAGGGCCAAAGTGTTTTTTTAGGGGGGTTGGGGAATTACCATCTGCCTTAAGTTATCTATATCTGGATCTGGAAAAGAAGAAAAGATTGTTAGAATTACAGTTTAAGAACAAAAATTACATAATTCTGTATGCTAAGAAAAATTAAAAGCCCAAGTCTAATAAATTTTATCAATATTAAAAGTACAAGACAGAAGTGAGTAGTCCAATTAATTCTCACCCTTGTGGTTAGGATATTAAGTAACCAAGCTTAACATTCTGCTCTAACAAAGTCATTAAATGAAATTTCAATTCTACTTTTAACAAGAAATGGAAAGTTATAATCTGTTAAGGGTTTGTTTCTATTTATATATGTATACTGGAGTTAAGAGGAAGGGACAAAATTGAAGGATATAAAATTTCAAAGACAAATAAAATGTGACCCCACCTTGATCTGGATCTAGACTTGTGTTTGCGACTTGATCTCTTACCACTTCTGTCATAATCACTTCTTTCTCGTGCATGTTTGTAGCGTTCTGATCGCTGTTCATACCAATGATCAGTACTATATTTAGCATTGCGCCTTTTGCTGCTTGAACGATCACTATCAGAAGAGTCAGAGCGAGACTTGCGGTGCTTAGTCCTCTTGTTCTTTGAGGTAGTGCTTCCAATGCTGCTGTAGCTACCCTCACGCATATATACTGAATCTCTACTACGCTCATAATTGTCTTTGCTGGACTTACGACTGTTACCATTACGTGTCAATCCATACTTATACCTGTCATATTTTTCATCATAGTATTTATCAGTTTTGTGGCGGCTGCCACTTTCATAACTGTCCCTATTGTAGCGGTCACTGTTGCCATATCTGTCTGGACCAGAGCGACTATGTTGCCGATCATAACTAGTTGATTTGTAACTGTCCCGGGAACCACTGCGTCGATATTTGTCAGAATCTTGTTTATTCTGATCACTGTTACCACTCTCATGATGACTCTCCTGCTTCCATTTCCCATCACGCTCCCTATTCTTCAGGTATGCATTTAGGACTTCACCATGAATCTTACCATCATGAATAGCTTTCAAAAGCTTATGCTTTTTGTCACCTGAACTGGAAGACGAACTGTCATCACTACTGCTTGAATCACTAGAACTGTCACTACTATCAGATTCAGTCTCAGTATAACCACCCCCACTAGAACTACAGCTACTGCTACTACTGCTACTACTGCTTGAACTACTGCTACTACTACTGCTGCTACTTGATGATTTCTTCTTAGATTTTTTATTCCGACTCTTGAAATCTTTCCTTGATGTGGTCCTAGTTTCTTTACTTGTCTGTAAATGACCGTCACCCCCACCAGAGTCAGCCTGACACCTGTCTTTTCTTGTTTCATCATCCTGACTTTTGTCTTTGTGCTGATCAGATTTTATATCAAGTCCAGGAATTTTATCATATTTTCTACCAAATAGAAAAGAGGATTTATCATTTGAAATCTCACTGAGAGATGCAGCTGATTTTTCACGAGATCGTGATGGACTTGGATCTGAAAATAAAATTAAAATTGCGTCTGATTTAAATTACAAATTTTAAGTAGTCGATAAAACAATTGCTTTATTCACTTAAGTAGCAATTTGATTTAAGATAATGAAAATATTAAAAATGAACATTATGTATACATAGAAGTTGCTGCTATCCTGATAAATCACTAAAAATGTGGTTTAATGTTTTTTCAAGTCTTATAACATTAATTCTTTAATTTTTCTTATAAAATGTATATAAACAGGAAAATGAGACCTGTTTTCATATCTTTATAAGAATATTCTGCGTTTTCTGCAGTTATTACTTATAAGTGATCAATGCAACACTCGTTGCATTGATCACATCTCACTGGTGTTGAAATTGGACACTGCTTACCTCTTTCAGAATCGGACTCACTGCTACTGAAATTCCTACGCTGTTGTCGTGACAACTGCCGTTGTCGGATTCTCTCATGCAAAGCATTATCAGATTCCTCATCACTGTCATCGTCTGTGTGCTTCCTTACTTTATGGCAAGTTCCTTCATTCTTGTCATCATCACTAGCAGAATCTGAACCAACACCTACAGACAAAAAGGTTAATGTGTTAACAATAATCAATCTGAGGTAAAATAAAAATGTAAATGAAAAACTTATCTGCATAATCAAAATCAGTTTTTATATTTTCACACAAAAAAAAAATTTCTAGTAAGGATCTAATCAGTTTCCAACTATCAGTTCATTGAAAGCAGGTTTTCAAGTATGGCAATTTGTATAATATATGCAATTTTTACTACAAAAATAAAGGTCTTTTATTTTTTGATCGAATAGACATCTAATATTTACACTAAATGCAAAGATGGTCAATACAAATTGAAAACCCCATTTAAAATTCAACATTATTATTGAATATCTTTAATTTTAAAATGATTACAAGAAAAAAGTGGTTGCATTAATGTGATTTCACTCTCAAATTTGATTTATTTTATAGAAAACAAAATGATAACAAATACAAAATTGTTATGCAAGTATATTGTAATTATTTATTTTCATTCAAATAAAAATAGGCAAAACAGTTCCCATGAATTTTTTAGAGAAATTCTGCCAGATTCTATTCAAACAACCAGGAAAATAATTTATAGGGACTAAAAAAAATAAAAAAATATATATATATCAGCAGTTCAGAATTAATTTATTCATTTTTTGGGATGGGGGTGTGTGTTTCTGTGTGTATGTTTTTTTTTTTTTTTTTTCTCCTTCATTTTATCTTGACATACACATCAAGGAATCTTGCAGCAATAGATTAGAATTGTTAAAGTCAATAAAAAGATTGACACTGTTCATTTTCATCTCATCCAGGTCATTTTCTGCAAACTTCTTTTTTGTTGAAGAAACTCAGTAGAAGGATAAGTTGGCAAGAATCTCCAAGTAACATAATGGATGAAGAGGGAGAATGAAGCCAGAGGAACTGTTTATAATTGTCCAGCAAGCAAACAAGAAGCAACTGTACAAGAAAAATCTGAATCAATATTCACAAAACTTATGTTGGATCCATTTCTTCATCCCAATGGTAAATGCAGAAGCATCTGTATGCTGATTGTGTCCAAAATAATGGGACATGAAAAATTATCGCTCTTGTAAATGAAAGGAATATTAAACAATTCATGTTATGAATAACTGCATGCCCTTTTGCTGAATTTTTTCCTTCAGTTCATTAGTCTTTAAGCATTCATTGTGTAAGTTTCAAAGTGACAGGAACATGACAAAAATTTTAAATAATGTTAACAAAAATCAAGTTTGTTCTTGCACATATTAAAATAATTTTATTTAATTGTAACAAAACACACAATATTGTCCCAAGAATCTGCCTTGCTTGCTTGCATGGTGAAAAACAAAGATGGAGGGAATAAAAAAAAAAAAGTCTTTCAAATGAATTGTGTCCTTCAAGAGATACTGGCATGCTTTTACATTGAACAGTAGGGGGCAAGGAGCAATGATGATGACAGCAATGACAACAAAATATGAATACTCAGTAGCAAAAGGAGCAACATAAAAGAAGGAAAAGAAAAGGAAAGGAAAATGTACTCACCAAGACTTGACAAAGAGGCCAAAGCAGTGGACTTGGCTAGCTGCTTTGCTGGAGCTTACAATTATAAAAATTATAATTAGTCATGGTAGTCAAATCAAAAAAGTGCAGAAGGAAAGGCATTGTCTGTGAAATGAGACAAAGAGAGAGAGAAAGAGACAAGCCTGCACCTGGTTGGCAGCATTTTGTACAAGGCTGTGCACACCTGCCTGAACAGTCCTTGCCTGAAACTGATGAAGTTGGCAAGGAAAAAAGTAAGATCAGCAGGATAGCAACAACAAAAGCCTGGCATCAATTGTTAGCACAAAAGTTGCTGGACTTGGTATATTTTAATGGATTCCCACCTCCCTCTTAATTCATAATTTGTTTATTCTTGACCTGAAACAAAACTCTAATATCAAAATGATTATTTGTAAGAGAAATAAAACCAAAATGATATAATAGCAAAAGGAAGAACATACATTTTAAAAAAAAAATTGAATAGAAATTGAAATAAAATTTTACGTAGTGTTGTGTAATATATCACGAGGAAAAAAAAAAAAAAAAAAAAAACGAAACTATACATGCAAAATGAAATTGTAAAATATTTTTATTTCTTTTTATTTCATTAAGTATTCATTAATTCATTAAGATTAATCTTGTAATAAATACACAAAATATATGCAAACTAAAAATGGCATTATCGAATGGTTACATTTTAGATGTATATTTAAAAAAAAAAAAAAAATCCAAACATTTCTAGCATAGGAATTAAACATTATAAACCAATGAATACAATCATTGACACGGCTCAGTTATGTATAGATATTTGAAATATAAATCCTAACAAAAGACCTGAAATATGATGTTCAGATGCTTCATTTGTACATTGAAATATAAAACTGAATACTTGCAAAATAATAAAATGTGTGTGTGTATATATATATATATATATATATATATATATATATATATATATAATTTATTCAAATATTGATAACAATTTTCCAGTACAATAAAAAAAGAAAAAAGTAAGCTATCAATACAATCTATATATTTTTTTTCAAGTTAACAGACAGGAATCAAATGAAACAGGATTCTTTGACAATTTTAAAAGAATTTCCACCATACAAATTATAAAGCATCTTAATATGTATTAAAATAAAGAATTTAAATATGACAATATTGACAGATTGCTTAAAAATAATAAATTAAAATCATGTGTGTAAAGACCACTTGCCAATCAATAGTACAAAATAGACAAAGGTATTTTCTTGCTGCTTCAAATGGGAAATGTTTTTAACTATTCAAATTCCATTTAAATGGAAATGTGTTTTTAGACAGTAGGTCAGTATAGATTTAACAATAAGAAAATTTACAGTTCATTTCATACCATTGCTGTTGTGTGTCAATTATATATTTTACCAAATTGTGATGGGTAGGGATAATTCCAAGGAGGATATTAATCCAGTGAGAGCTCAGTGTAGATTATGGAGCATTATAATAATAATACTAAATAGATAGATGATGATGAAGAAAACCTTAAAGATTCAATTCAGGTATATCAAAATAAATTATAATCGAAAAGAATCTTTAAAGTTTTCTTCATCCTACATATGTGTGAATTAGTGCATTTTTTTTTTTTTTTTTTTTAAATATGCAACAGTACTGAAGGCAAACAGGAAGGAAAAGAATTAGGTTTATTTTATCAGTATCCAAACTGTTCTTTAGTATTAAGAAAAAAAAAATATTAACACTATAAGATAAACTCATCTAACAAATAAGTAAACCTTGTCAGAATAATTATTTTCTTCTCTTTTAGAAATATTAATTATGAGAACAATGAATTTTTAGAACACAAGAATTCTGATATTTAAAAGGATATATATTTTTGGCAGTGTAGTGATAAAAAAAAATAAAATCAATTTAAAATTAATAGATATTATCTACACATCTCAGCCAAAATTTAATTTTTCTTCTATGGGTTGTGTCCCTTCAGCATGTAGGTGATCATAGTTCTTCACAATTTCCTGTTCTTTGTAGTTCTTAGATATGTTTGTTGTTTTTTTTTTTTTTGTTTTTTTTTTTTTTTTTTACTATGCCTCCCCTTCCATTCTACCATCCATTTACAAAAGTGTGATAGGCTACTTGCAGTTTTCCTCTGTCCCTTCTTGCTTTCAATATCTGTGAGTGTCTAATTTTCCAGGCTTTCCTTTCTCATCATGTTCCAGAAATTTCAACTGTCTTTCTGATTTTCATGTATAATTGTTCCTATTGTTTCCACTTTCTTTAAAATTTCCTCATTGCTTACATGCTCCATCCATATTTCAGCATCCTTCTGCTGAACTACATCTCTATTGCTTCAAGTCTCCTCTTCATCTGTGAGGAAATTGCCCAGAGTTCATTATCATATAGGAGAATTGATATTACATAGCAGTTCACCAAGCAAAGTTTTCCTGTTTCTTAATACTTTAATTTTTGGAAACCATCTTTTGCTATTCTAATGAGCTTTCAGTGTCATATTTTCCATCTCTCTTAAAACATTTTCTAGATATTTAAACTTTTGTACCACCTTGATTTTGACATCTGATTTTTTGCTTGTATCTTGGGTTTTTTCCTTGCTGACTCTCCTTAAAATTAATAGTTAGTCCTTTCTTCCTGCATTTACCTCCAACAGTGCCATCTGTGTATCATATTGCTAAGATTGTGCCCACCAATAATAAATGACTAGATCTCCAGCTACCTTAAGATAGTTTCACATCTTTGTCTTATACCCACTTTTTATTTTTACATCCTCCCTCCATTCATTTTTTATCTGTAGCAGACAGTGAACCAGAACCAGAGTCAAATGGCAGAAATGGTGAACAGGACTTGCCTTATTCTTGATGAAAAAGAGTTTGTCTAGCAAGTAGGACTTTATACTTGTGTATAATATTAGCATGGTTGGACGGAATCAAGGAGGGACATCCGGGTGTATTAGTGCTCCATTCTGAGGTGACGTATGTCTATCACCCCGGCGAGTGATTGGTGTTTCCCCATTCTAAGTAGTCCATTATAGAGATGAGGTCTTCTATACGTACAGTTGTGATAGGAGGAACGAACGTTGAATTGGATACAGGGAAGAGAACAGTGATAAATACCAAGGAACCAGTGTAGAGGGAAGAAACGCTCAATCTGAAATTATGTCCCAGAACAGATTTGCTAACTTCTTTTGATCACACTATCTATATGCAGGTAGTTAGCTCTTTTAATTAAACTATTCCTCTTTTAACTGCCTGCATTTGTTACTAATTTATGTGTTCAATGTTCTATATTCCTCATCATATCAAGAATTTCATGTCATCCACTCTTGCCTTGGGATGATCTCATTTGCTGATGTCAGTAGAGCTTCTCTCAATGTGCTCCACTTTAACTTTCCAGTCTCATTCAAGTTATTATATTTACTTTTAATTTAACTGTCTCCTCCTGGGCTTCTCCATATCCATAAATGTCTTGGGTGTTCTTGAAACCATATGTTGATTACTATTTTGTTGTTTGCTGTGCACCATTGGATCCATCTTTCATTGCATTCATTACGAATTCCTAATCTGAACTTGCCAACTATTTCATATTCTTTCTGGCTTTAAGCATTCAGGTCTCCTTTGATGATAATTTCTTGCAATTTATAGTCTTGATGTTATCCAGTGTGCTCTAAAATTTATCAATTTCTTTCTCTTTGCTTTGTTGGTGCATAAACAAATATAATTGATATATTAAAAGGCTTCCCTTTCAGCTTAAGTAGAATTGTCAGACAGTTGACAGTATCCCAGATGTTTTTCATGTGTTTATCTAGTATTAATCCTACTCCTTTAATTTTTTCTCTTTGCCTGCATATAGGACCATGTATATTGCTAATCAAATCTATTATTTGCTCACCTATTTGGCTTACTCCTAGAATGTTAATATTTAGCCTATTCATTTCCTACAAATCAAAAATTCTCAAATAGGTACATGTATAGAAACTAACAAAACACTATTTAATTTTAAAGAAAGAAAAAATTTAAAATTACATGATGAATTAACAAAAAAGAATCATGTTAATATAAATGTGTTGAAAACAAGTACATTTTTTCAGTTTTACAAATTAAAGTGTATTTTTACATCTACCCCATCTTAAAACTTGATCAAGTATTTAAATTAGAAGATATACCTTTCTGTTATAAGACTCCTTAAATTGCTGAACACCAAAAAGAATGCTTAAATATCAAAGTTTGCCTTTTTTAAAAAAAACAAACTTGCACTAACTTTTTAAATACTGATGAAGCATTATGTGTAAACAGTGGGGCCCAAAATCAGCAAGAAAAAAGTTTTGTTCCAATAACAAAATTTCTAAAATTTTAGTGTTTCTTTTGTTTACTTTAACAAAAGAGTAAACTTCAATATCTATATTAAAGCTGGCTTTTAATAAAAGACAAATGATAATAGCCTCTTTAAATAAATTTTTGTTACTCATTCTTAAAATAACCTCTGAACAATTGATTAGCAATTACATCATTGAAAACAAGGAAAAATTCCTACATTTATGGCCTTTAAATACAAAAGAAAACTTTAGAGTAATTAAAATGACTTCAATTATGTTAACAAAACCTGTGAACTTTCTACTCAAAAACATTTGGAGATAAGAGAATTAAAATGTTTATTTAGGAGTATAATTGCTTATAAATAAATGCTTTTTTTTTTTTAAACAATCTGTACTATTTTCAATGACTTCAAAAATAAGTTAATACAGTACAGGGTATTTTTAACATGCAGGATGGAGGCAATTTAATTTCTTGTTTTAGCTTCTTTGGCACTTTGATAAAAATTATTTCAAATATACAAAAATCCTAGAATGAAATCATTCAACCTTGAGGTTTCATAAAAGCCATTTGGTAATATTTGAAAAAACTGATTGCTTTTATGAGATTCAACTTTCATAATGTTTAACTAATAGGAGAGGGAATAATTTTGGCAAGTGGTCTTAAATATAAATAGCAATTAACAAAAACCTAGCAATATGAAAGTGGTATATTGATCATGATACAAAAATCACAAATCTC